CAGGCAGCCACAGCAGGATGGGGCCACCTATTTGTTTAACTTCCACTTTCATTCCAAAGCCCAAGACTCTCTTTCTTCCAGTTCTGGTTTCCACTGCTTTGTTCTGTTCATGACATTTCCAACCATATGGTCTCCCAGAAAGAGGTGGAATCTTTCTTTTGTCTTGTGGTGTTGGCTCCCTTCTAGTGTTAGTTCATGAAAAAAAAACATGGAGGTTTAGTGGGGTCTCAGGATGGAGGTTGGAACCCACAGTCTTGCACTTTAGAGACATCAGGTACATGATATGGCAAAGGCAGAACACATGAGGGTGAAGCTGAAATACAGGCAAGCCCACGTGCCATTGGTACACTGCACCCATTCTTGTTACCTCTTCTTCATCCAGAGGTACTCCGAGGCCACAGTCTCCTATAATTCCCCCAAGTTTCACCAATAATTCTACTCAGAATACAACTTTGTATAAAAAATGCAAGGTCAGTAGACTCTTGACAATGAAATAGGCTCCAGATTCTTGAACCACTGAAATCCTAAGAGTAGGTGGGTGATCCATCCACTTGTTGCTTTCATCTTTCAATATACCCTCAAAGGCTCACCTCTGAGGTAACTCACAGAACACAGATTAATCAGATATAACTCTTCCCCTGAAGATGCTCATAGGCCCTAAAGGCATTTTGGTTGGGTGTTCATCAAGCCCAGGATCTGTGTATAAATACGGTTCCAGGAAAGTATGGCCCGAGTTAGAGATGACTGAACTTAAATGTGTAGAAATCAATAAAGCACTAAAGACAAGACAAGCATGCCCAGATATCAGGTGTACTTGGATTCATTCACTGACCAATTGTAAAGTTACATGTCAGTTTGATTTGCCTACTGAACATCGGTGGCTCATTGTATGCTGGAGACTTACTACCTTGGTCACTTTGCTTCTGGAGGTAAACAGTAGGACTCACTAATGACAGGCTTCCTGATTCAGAGGGATTTGCTGAAAAATAAGCAATGTATGCGCTTCCTCCTCAATTCCCTCCCACTTTTATGAGCACTGTTAAGTTTAATTTCGGCATGTTAAGTAATTTGTGACTCATTGAAATGAAACTGAACTCGGTCCTCATAAAAATGGAATAAAATGTTTCATGTCATGGTTTGAATCAGCCTGCTATTTGGAGCTTGGTAGACTCTATTCCAAATGCCATTTTGGAGCCTTTCATCCTAACAACTAGTTACTGTGTTTCTTAAAATTTCCCACAAGTCCTCTGTTCCTCCCACCCTCAAATAGCAAAATTTATAGCTGAAGGCAACAGAGGGAAAAGTGAGTAAGCAGAGGTGGTGGGAGCTCTGTACTGTGGTCTCACAAATGCCGGGGATTTCTAAGCCGGAGCCACTGCAGGCAATTATTTCAGCGAACAGATACAGATCCTCTGATCATAATGCTTTAAAAATATAAATATTATTTCTTTAACCAATTTTCCTTGCATTCTTCATTTGCAAGCACCATAGAAATCTAGCACATTCCATTTTGGCAACTGCTGAAACAAGGCATATATACTCAATTTGTATTTGATTTACAATCTTGTTTAAATATACTCAGACTTTTAGGATAAGATGCCATTGACTATGATTTCAATAATTTGGAGTTTCATGAGATGTTAAGAGGGAGCTCAGGCTGATCATCATAATATTTCTCTCAAAAAAGTCTTAAAAATAGCATATGGTTTTGAATTTCCTTCAGAAAGCAAGTTATTTCTCAGGGTTTTAATATTATGAAGTACTTGCAGGCAGGTGCTCTTGTCATCTACTAGAACGATGATCCTCGGGGTACATCCATCTAGGAAAAATAGTGCTTCTGAGAACTGGCAGCTGAGGCTTCCCCGTGGACACATGAGGAGCATGAGACCACCACAGAGCCCTGTGAAAGGTGCCAATCTGCACCACTGTGACCGTATGTTCTGCTTCATTAGTGTCAGGCTCAGGACACGTGACAAATGCAATACTTTTGGCAGCGAAGACTGAATGGAGGGGTTGTGTAGGGATGGAGTGGCATCTGGGAAGAAGGCTTATTTCCCAATGCTGTTCATTGCTATCACAACAGCAACGGACTACATACGTGTACTCCCAAATTCATATGTTGAACCTTGTCCTAGTTTGTTTCTCCATTGCTGTGACAAAACACTCTGACCAATACCAACTTGGGGAGGAAAGGGTTTATTCAGCTTACATCTCCCAGGTCACAGTTCATCAGGGAGCCCAAGGTAGGAAGTCAGGGCAGGAACCTAGAAGCAGGAGCTGGAGCACAGGCCATGGAGGAATGCTGCTTACTGGCTTGCTTCTGCGGCCCCTGCTCAGCCTGCTTTCTTATGCAACACAGGCCCACCTGCCCAGGGATGGCACTACCCACAGTGGGCTGGGCCCTCCCACATCACTCAACAATCAAGAAGATGCCCCACAGATATGGCCATAGGCCAGTCCAATGGAGGCAATTCCCCAATTGAGGCTCCCTCAACCCAGGTGTGTCAAGTTGACAAACCTTGATCTCATTGTGATGTTATTTGGAAGTAGCTCAGGGGTGGATTGGTCATGAGGGTAGAGCCCTTATGATTAGTGCCATTTTAAGAAGTCAGAGGGTGAACTAGCTTTCTTCCTAGGACATGTGAACACCATAAAAATTGAACCATCTACAGTCTGGACGATCTCACCAGAATCCAACCATATGCTACCTTGATCTTGGACTTCCAGTGTCCACAACACTGGGAAGTAAATTTCTGTTTATTTTTTAATATTTTATTTATTATTTCTATTTTGTGTATTTGAATGTATTGCCTACATGTATATAAGTGCACCTGTGTTGTGCAATGCCTGCGGAGGTCAGAAGAGGGCTTCAGATGTCCTGAAACTGGAGTTACAGATGGTTGTTAGCTGCCGGGAATCAAACCTGGCTCCTCTGCAAGAGCAGCTACTGCTCTTAATTGCTGAGTCATCTCTCCGAACCCTGTAAATTTCTGTTTTTAATATGCCATCTTGTCTATGTAGGTATTCTGTTATAGCAACCTAAACTGGGTAAGATAACACTCAAATGCAGGACAGGCTCAGGCTCTGTGATACCCAAAGACTTGAGCAGTGTCTTACCCCTGTTCCACTTGGCAAGAGACCAAAAGATCCACTGTTGTGGCACATGGAACATTCGCTAGTTGAAAAGCTAGAGATTAAAACTACGATAATGGAAGTACCCATTGACACAAAGCACTAGGAGCTGAAATTATGTCCAGCAGGAACATAGACCTCTTTGGCTAAAGAATCTTGGGATTCTTAAAAAATGCCTCCCTGTTGGAAAGAACCCCAAAGAAGATGCCTGCCAGGAGCTGGAATGGCTGTGCTGGCACTACCTCAAGGGGTATAAGTTTGACTTGTGAAATTGCTAGCAAAAGAATTATATCATTGGTTTGCAATGTGCCAACATGCAAGATGACACAGGCACACATGTAATTTAGGAAGCAAACAAACCCTGCATTTGGCCTGCTAGTAAGTTATGCTGAAATGTCAGCAGTCTCAGTACTGATGATAAGGCTTTTCTTCATGCTGTCCAAGGAAGAGGACCTGGAACATTTTTGCTTCAAGGAAGTATCCCTGAAGGGCCTGCTCAAGTTCTCATCGTCGCCCTCTTCCCTGGGAGGTGGCCTTGCTAACACTCATGGGCACTGAGCATATTTCTGCATTTGATAACAAAGCCAGGAAGTGCCAAATGAGCCTGGGCCTTGTCAAGTGTTTCCTTGAAAAACTCCCATTTCAGGACTGGCTTGGCCTATGCAGGGAGGAAATCCACTTAATCTGTTTGCTCTAGGAGTCAGTTGAGACATTGTTTTTGCATCTATATCTTCCTCTAACAGCTTTTGGTAGGCTCACTTGCTAAGGATACAGTGAAGACACAGGACATATCAGTGGTGAAAACAGATCTCTATGGCTGAGGAAAGAGAGTGGGCTCCTTGGGTGCTGTGGACTTAAGACTCATGTTCTCCAGATTCCTGTAACTCCCAAGGTGATGTGATTAGGAGATAGGTCCTTTGGAACATGATTAGGTCTGGAGGGCAGAACCCTCATGGAGAGGATCAGTGCCTCCCTCAAAGAGGCCCTGGAGAGTAGTCTTGCTCCTTCCATCATTTGAGGATGGAAGAAGGAACCACTCATGAGAGATGAGCTTTATCAGATGCCAAACCTTTAGGTGCCTTGACCTTGGATTTCTAAGCCCCTAGAATCATTAGAAAGATATCCACTGTTCATAAGTCAACTAGCCCATGTACTTTATTACAGTTGCCTGGGTAAAGTCAGACACCAGAACTCTTTGCAAATGCTCAGGTTGAGCTGAGTCATCAGGAGATGGTGGAGTTCATTTTTACCTGAGCTATACCCATCTGGACACTGAAAACTCTGTCCCCCTATCCTTTCATTCTAGCTGTCCATCAGGAGCAGCTCTTTCTGATGGGTGAGCAGACTGACTGTGGGTGGATGGATTTCCTTTTCTCTCTCTCTCTCCCCCCCTCTCTCTCCCCCTTCTTGCTTTGGTTATTTGGCAGTGTTCTGTAAAGTCATGGATGCTCAACACCAGGATGGATTTGAGATCCATATTCCAGCAGGTGGAGGGCTCCCCAAAGGGCAGGCACATCTACCTCTCTAGATACTGTCTGCAAAAGTTCTCGCTACGTTCTACTAAGAAGAGCATGGCTGTCCATTTATCCTTCAGTCCCATTTTGTACTTACCTGTTCTTTATTTTATTTGGGGGGGGGGATCATGCTGTATAAAAAATTATCAAAGCTTTAATATGTTGCTGTTCATTCAGTCATCCAAACCTGTCATGGGCATATGCTAGTGATAATAGGCCACCAAAAGCAGCACAGACCTCCTTGAGAAAACCTATTCTCCATGGCCCTCCAAGGCCTCAACTCTACCATAGGCCTACTTTGGGGAGAGGGAACCTTTCACAGCCCCATCAGGGAGAGAAGTTAAAGCATATCACCTGGCATCTGCCGTGCACGCAGAGGTCAGTCTCGTAGGGTCCACAGGGTGTGCCATCCAGGACCCTGTCAGCCACCAGCAGCGGGGACTCCTTCCCAAGGGGCGAGCAGTAGAGTTCACATGGCTTATCTGGGGAGGAAAAGGTTGGTGGCAGTTGATATGGGAGAGGGTTTGTGGTTCATCCGGGGAAGAGGCGTATGTGAGCAAAGGGCCAAAGGACAGAGAGAAGAGTGCAAATAAAGGTAATAGTCACTTAACTCTGTCCTCAGGCACACCCACTGGCTCCTATGAACATATAAAATAGCACACAAAGAAAACTACCCTTGACTTAGTAAATGGCAGAGCAGGGAGCTCTGTGGGTTTCTCTCTCCTGGTTCTCTTCCTTTGCAAAGACACAGCACTTCCTTTTACTTCAGTTGTTAAACAAACCAGGATATATGAAGGTACAGTTGTGTGCTAGCCTGCTTCTATGTAAGCTGTCTGTGTCTGTGTGTCAGGAGGCTGGGAGCTCCTGGAGTACTGATGGGAAAGTAGGGGAGGGCAAACAAGAATGCCCCAGGGAGCAGGAGTACAAGCCCCAAAGGTTTCCATGGCAGTGGTTTCACTAAATGCATTTGTTTCCAGGGCAAAGCTTTAGTATTTTGTCCCACACTTTCCCTAGATGCTGGGTAATAACTTCAGAACTGTAAGGCACAAAGGTTCTAGAAGAAATTGAGTGAAGACACAGAAAGGGGATACAGAAACCACTGGGGCAAATCGTGAGAGCCCTGTTAGCACACAGGATGAAAACCCCTGTTCCTGCTTGTTCAAGAACCATGTGAGTTTATAGAACACACCAAACTCCTCTGCCTTTTCCCAGGCCATTTCCTCTGAGGGAAATATCTCTATCTACTTGGTTTTCTAGAAGGCTCCTATCATTCTGGAAGCCTGAAATCTGGGGCTCTCTCTTCTACCATGCTGACATGGGAAGGGTCAGGCATCTCTATGTGCACTTTGCATACAGACACATTCAATCCCTTAGCATTAGGCTGCTGTCATGCAATTGTTTGAGCAAATCCTAGATACAAAGGCAGATTCCATTGCTAATGAAATACTAAAGATTGTCTAATTCAAAAAGTCTTCAAATTCTGAAACTTTCTGAACTCTCACATGACTTTACATGTGGAAAGTTCTACACCTGCCCTTATGCGGATAGGTACAGTTAAAAATATAGGTGCTGCTCCTCCTCTCTAGGTAGGAACCCTGGACTCCTCCTGCCATTCCACCCACCCCTGCTACCTGGGGATGAGTCCTGTGCTGCTCTCTCAGTCTCCTAAGGATTGGTCTTAAGAATCTTCTAACCCTATAAGTCAGCTCCTGGACTCAGATGCTTCACTTTGCCCTAACTGAGCCCTCTTAGAATATCAATACTTAGTTGCCTCAAGACTGAACCCTAAGCCCGATTTAGCTGGTTTATAATTTGATAAGTTGGGGGAAAACTCTCCTCTCAAAATTAGTATTTTCATAATACTAATCCTTGAGAAAAAATATTTTAGATGATGTACAAGATAATGATTTCAAAATAGCAATAATAAATATGTTCAAAGAACTCAAAGAGGGTATGAATAAATGTTGGAATGAATACTGTGAAAACACAAACAGTAGAATGAAATAATGAAAACAGTTATTACACGAAAATAGAATTTAATAAAGAGATAAAGTCTCTGAAGAAAAGCTAAAGTTAAATAAAACTCAAAGTGAAAAACTCAAGCAGTCAAATAAAGAGCTCAGAGGAAACTTCGCCAATAGATTGGATCAAGTAGAAGAGAGACTAAGACTCAGAGACAAGGCCGAGAAATTGGATCACTCAGTGAAAAAAAAATGTTAGCTTAGAAGAAAAGCCCCAAATATTGGGTGTGGTGGTGCACGCACACCTTTATTCCCAGCACTCCGGAGGCAGAGGAAAGTGGATCTCTATGAATTCAAGGTCACGCTGGCCTACATACTGAGTTCCAGGCTAGCTGGGCTCTAGGGAGACCCTGTCTCAAAACAACAACAAAATAAATAAATAAATTAATTAATTAATTAATAAAAGCCCAGGAACAAAACATGTAAGAATTCTGGGACATTAAAAAAGATGAAACCTATGAATCATAGGTATAGAAGAAGCATCCCCCATTCAAAGCTATAGAAAATATTTTCAGCAACATTAGCGAAGAAAATTGCCCAAATCTATGGAACAAGAAGCTTGTCAAAGTGTAACAGACATATATGATACCAAATAGACAGGAGCAGAAAAGAAACTCCCCACATCATATAATAGTCAAAACACTAAACGTGCAGAACAAAGAAAGGATACTGAAAGCACCAAGAGAAAAAGACCAAGTTATATATAAAGGCAAGCCCATCACAGCAACAGCTGATTTTTCAATGGAGACTTTGAAAGCTAGAAGGGATTGAACTGATGTTCTACAAGTGATGGAAGACCACAGATGCCAGGCCAGACTACTATACCCAGCAAAACTATTAGTTGTACTCAAAGAAAAGCTTTCCATGATTTAAAATAGACTTAAGGAATTTATGACCACTAAGCTAGCACTACAGAAGATGCTGCAAGGAATACTTAGCCTGAAAAGAAGGTTAAATACACTCAAGAGGGTACAGAAAATCATTAACTAAAAGAGGTCTAAGAAAGCCCCACAAACAGAAAAATGAAAGGAATTAATTAACAATGTTTAACAATAACTCAACATTGTCTCAATTCCCCAATAAAAAGACACAGACTAACAGTGTAAATTAGAAAACAAGATCCATCTTTTTGCCACCTCCAAGAAATACACCCCACCATTAACAATAGACACCATCATAGGATAAAAAGATAGAAAGGGTATTCTAGGCAAATAGAACTAAGAAACAAGCAGACACAGCAATTCTAATGTCTCACAAAGTAGACTTCAAACTAAAACTAGTCAGAAGAGATAAGGAGGGACACTTAATACTCATTAAAGGAAAAAAAATCTACCGAGAGGATATTATAGACCTAAACATACACACACCAAACAGAGGGGCACCCAATTTCCGTAAAAGAAACAGAACTAATATCACAGATTAACCATAACAAAGTGATCATGGGTAACTTCAATACATCATACTCACCAGTAGACAGTTCATCTGGAAAAAACTAAGCAGAGAAACTCAAGTTAAATGTTATAAGTCAAATAGGCCTAACAGATATCTACAGAAACTCCACCCGAACACTAAAGAATATACATTCTTCTTAGTAGCCTGTTGAATTTTTTATAAATTTACCATATAGTCAGACATGAAGCAAGTCTTAACAAATATGGGAAAATTAAAATAACATATTGCATTTTGTCTGACCACAATCGAATAAAGCTGGTTATCAACAGCAATAGAAATACATAAACTCAAGGAAACTAAATCACACACTGCTTGGAAAAAAACAAGAACAAACAACATCCCCAAACAGTAGCTGGGAAGAAATAATCAAAATCAGGACTGAAATCAAGGAAATAGAAACAAACAAAAAATCCAATACCAATACAAAGCATTAATGAAGAGTTGGTTCTTTGGAAAAATTAACAAATTGACAAACCTTTAGCAAAATTAACAAAAAGAGAGGATGAAAATTAATAAAATTAGAGATGAAAAGAGAGACATTATAACAGATACTGAAGAAATTCAGAGACTCATAAGGATATTCTTAAATCTATATTCCATAAAACTGGAGAATCTAAAAAAATGGATGAATTTCTAGATATGTATGACCTACCTAAGTTAAATCAAAATGAAGTAAATAATTTAAATAGACCTATAACATCCAAGAGATAAAAACAGCAACTAAAAAAAAAAATCTCTCAACGAAAAAACAGCCCAGGGGCAGATAGATTCAGTTCAGAAATCTACCAGACATTTAAAGAAGTAACACCAACCCTCCTCAAACAGAAAAAGGAGGGAACATTTTAATTTTTTTATGAAGCTAGTATTACCCTGATGCTAAAACTAGACAAAGATCCAATAACAGAAAAGAATATTACAGGCCAATATCTCTGGGGAAGACAGATGTAATAAAAAAAAAAAAGGACACATCATGATCAAGTCAGCTTCGGGCCAGAGATGCAGAGGTGGTTCAACACATATAAATCTATACATATAATCGACCACATAAATAGACTCAAGTACAGAAACCATATGATATCTGTTTAGATAAAGAAAAGGCCTTTGGCAAAAATCCAACATCCCTTCATGAGAAAAGTCCTGGAGAACCTAGGGATACAGGGGACATATGTTAACACAATAAAGGCAATATAAAGGAAGACCACAGCTAACATGATGCTAAATGGAGAAAAATGTAATGTATTTCCACTAAAATCAAGAGTAAGACAAGGATGTCCACGCTCTCCATTCCTATTGAATGTATTTCTTGAAATTTTAGCTAGAGCAATAAGGGAAGTGAAGGAGATAAAGGGGATAAATATAGGATAGAAAGAAATCTACATATCTTCATTTGCAGATGATATGATTCTATACATAAAAGACCTTAAAGAGTCCATCGGAAAACTCCTAGAGCTGATAGACACATTAAGCAAAGTAGCAGAACACAAAATTAACATTAAAATCACTAGCCTTCCTACATATCAAGGACAAATAATGAGAAAGGAAACAGGGAAGCAATCCCATTCATAATAACCTAAAAAAAGATCTTGGAATAAATCTAACCAAGGAAGTGTAAGGCTTATACAATGAATACTTTAAGACACTGAAGAAAGAAATTGAAGAAGATACCTGAAGGTGCAAAGACCTCCCATGTTCATGGATTAGTAGGATTAATGCTGTGAAAATGGCTGTGGTGGTTTGAATGAAAATGTCCCCCATAGGCTCCAAGTGTTTGGACATTTTGTCCCCAGATGATGGCACTGTTTTGGGAGGTTTTAGAAGGTGTGGCTATCCCGGAGGAAGCACATCACTGGGGGTGGGCTTAGAGAGTTCTTAAGCCTTACCCAATCTCTGGTTGGTCTCTTGCTTCCTGTGCCTGTGTGATGATGTGAGAGCTTAGCTTCTGCTGCTCCTGGTCCAGCCAGCTCCAGCCACCAAGCCTCCTTGCCATGACAGACTGTAATTCCCCTGGA